TTGGTCCTTTGCTTCACGAATGACACCTTTGGTTTTAGCTTTACGTAACCACTGAAAGTGTTTTAAATGAAATAAAAGAAACAACAGTAGAACCCGGAATTGGTTTAAGAACAAGTTTAGTACGTTTTAGTACAGGGAAACATAATATAGAATAGAAACTAGGGAAGAGAATATTTCGTCGTGAATGAATGTTTTCAACAAAAACTACTGCTGCTAATACTACTGATGCCGAGGTCAAACATATAGGGAAATATTCTCCCTCACAACAGATAGGTACGTGGTTTATGTACATCAGCTTGTTTTATACGAGCAGAGTATTCATCCTGAAGAATCATATCTTGCCATCGATTCTGTATTTGGCGCATTGCTTTTTACGTTTCTTTGCTGCTGCAGTATTTATATTATAGTTTATTTGCACTTCTGCAGGTGCTCTCTCACAGACGTGCCATCGCCTTCCTCTGTCTTTATTACAAATACTTTCATGGTAACTGCTCCAATAGGCTGCTTTCGCTAGTTCCCAGACTTCATGAATTTAAGCTTTCTATTAGGCTGCCATCTCGCTCTCACCCCCTTCACTGTCGAAACTGTTAAATGTAGCCGACTCTTCTACTACAATAGCTTCATGTCTCGCACCTGTCGTCTGTGGAACACCCTCCCCTTTTCCTGTTTACATGATAGCTATAATCTCCACCTATTCAAATGTAATGTCAATCGACGTCTCCAGATGACTTGATCTATCCCCTCTCCTTCTCTTCATCCTTTCCTCTATCACTCCTATTTGTTCTAGCTCCAACTCTCTTTAACCCCTTGCGTGTCAGTGGCTTCCCGCCTTGCTTGGGGTGAAAGGTTGAAAAAAAATGTCTTTTATTACTCAATAAAGTTTATTTCTTTATTTCTTGCATGTTTTTTGATGCCGATCATCATCAAGTTTTCTGTAGTTTCTAGGTATCTATGAAGATCGATTGTTAGGGTTTTGTATGATAGTTCTAGTTGAACTAATCCTCTACCTTCTTCGGGTCTGGACATGTACAGGCGATCAATATTCGCATTAGGTTGATGCATGCAGCGGCAAATGAGAAGTCTTCTCGTTTTGACAAACATTCGCTTAATGTCTGCTATGGTCCAGTTATGCATTTTTAAGCTGGCTTTCACAACATGTACAACTAAAGTGCCTATGGCTGATATTCTGTTTTGTGAATTCAAGTCGGTATTTAACACCAGACGCACACAACTGTAGTATTAATTTCATACTTTCTATATTTGTATATTGGTTATGCTGTATTTAATCTCCTTCGCTGATACCTAAATATATATATAAGCTTCTTCTTGTTCCAGTTCTCTAATTTCTGGGGCAAAATTGATATCTATTGAGTATGTTTCTGTAATTCTCCTTTCCTTAAATGTTGCTTTGTACATTTATCTAATCCGAAATCCATACCGATGTCATCACTGAAAAGCCTTACAGTAGTGAGTACTCAGTGTCGTCTTTCACAAAAAGTTTCATAAAATTCATGTACAATATGAGATAAACACTTTCTTCTTTTACGTTGCTATGCATAGTTGTTAATCTTTAGTTCATGCGAAACGGGGATTAAGGACAGACACACAAGGCGTCTCCTTGAATGTTTCCCTTTCGGATATTCAAACAATTAGAAGTGGCAGTACCTTTTGTGTCACTGATGTAATGCGTGTTTTTCCACATTTTCATGCTATACTTAAGAACATTTACTATAAGTGGGGAGACTTTGTACATTTCATAAGCCTTAAGGATTATGATTATTACTATTATTATTAATGAATATATAATAAAACTCTTCATATAGGGAGAATCCATATAGCCCTATGTGAAAGATTACATTAGTTTTGAAAAACATAAATAGAACAAAGATATGGAAAATATTCGAGATAGGAAATGAGCATATTTGTTCGAACTATGGTTTAACATGGGAAAAGCGAGCAGAAGAGAAAACAAGAATTCCGCGATAAAAAAACTAAAACTGTGTAATATCAGAGTAAAATCCGTTGCAATAATCGACAGGTTTCTCGGTAATTTTAAAATATTTTGTAAACAATCGTTACATTTATAGAGGCGTGGCTGAAAATATTAAAATCGTATGCAAGTAAGGAAGCGAAAAGGAATAATCCGAAGAAACATTATATATTTGAAGATAAAATAAGAATTGCATTCCGTAATCCTGATTAACTTGTTAAACAAAATAACAGCAATTGGACCTCTAAAGACAAAAGAAAAATTGGTAAAGTTTTTTCTCGTAATGAATGGTTAGACAAAGACCGCCATCAATGTGACAAACTATTTCTTAAGAGACCGGAAAACATACATCAAAACGAAAATACACGACATGAGAACGACGGCTGTAAATAATGAAATTTGAGAAGTAAAATTACTAAAGTTTTTAGTAATAATGTCGATTCATTATGAAATATACAAAAGAATATTTGTAATATATAAATTATGAGCGAAAAGATTTTTCAAGATTATTTAAAAATCAAATATCTGCTTTAGACCTTTGCAAAATAAGAGTGCAATACACGGATATGACTTCTCACTGGAATGAAACGAGCTATACATTAAGGCGATTTTGAGAACAATTAGATGTCATATCAAGATTCATTGTTGGCGATGACAATCTGAACAATATGGGTAGATGACAGAATCCAAAAGAATGAATATAGGATTGAAGATTCTTTAAATGTAGGGGGAAATGAAAGAAAAGCCATAAATGAATCACTAGGGATTATAAAGGAATTATACTCCAACAAGAAAACAGGAAAAAGAGTGTAAAGAAATACTGAAAAGAAATAAAATCAGAACTAGAAAGAAAGAAAAAAGAAAGAAAAAGAGAGAAAAAAGGAAAAAGACTGAAATAAAATGTAAAAAAAGAATCTCATACTTAAATATATTGAATTGTTGAAAAAGACACAGAAAGTGAAATCTTGTCATTCGTCCTGGGTAAGACGTTAAACTACATCCGGCAGGATGGCCTCTTATCAGAAGATTTTCAGGAGCGTGGAACAACCTCTTAATTGCTGGTGTTCCCTGGTCCACCCTGACCCGGAGTGGTAGCACCAGTTAGGGTCCCAGCTACGGGCAAATAGTTAACTTTTACCAGCAATACTTTTTTGAAAAAAAAATTATTACCAGCAATACAATTTTGAAGGGAATATATTACCAGAAACAGATTTTTAACAAAACAAAATATTACAAGGAATAAACATTTTTGCCAGCATTAAATAATCCATTGAGGTTGATATGTCGTTAAACAAAATAAACCAAAGCAATCTAAACCAAAGAATACTTATTCTATTCATACGACTCTATCCTAAAAATGTTGTCGACATTGAATAACCCAATTAGGTTGATATGCCGTTAAATAAAATAAATCAAACCAATCTAAACCAAAGAATATATACTCTATTCATACGAATATGTCCTAAAAATGTTATTGGCATTAAATAACCCATTGAGATTAATATGCCGTTAAACAAAATAAACCAAACGAGACCAAACCAAATCTTGGCATTTAAATACAAATATTAAAAAAGAAAGGATGAGTAAAATATGGAAACACTAAAAGAAGAACTGATTTGAAGATGCCAAAAATCAATGATATAGACAATACCGGAATGGAAAAAAATGTTGAAGAATAATAATTAATAATTCGAGAACGAATGGGCGAACAGAAGATGGACAAAATGCAAAGAAAACGCCCAAAATATGTTAGAAAAGATTTAACATTTGAGAAAGGAAATTAGAGAGTCGTAGAGTACCCGAGAAAGAATAAATACCCGTGTAAACAATAAAATTTAACAAAATAGGAAAAATAAATATCAAGTGTGAAAAAAAAAATGAATGAAAGTTATGCAAAATACTAAACACGACAAAGAAAGAAAAAAGTGTGTAAAATCAGTGAATAATTTAACAAAGTTCAATCGAGGACATTAAGTTGAACTAAGACAAATTGAACGGCAACTTTGAATCAGCTCATTCTCATCAAGTCGTGCATTGTAAACTTGTTTTGGTTTTAGGCCTTTTTTTCTTGTAGTTTCAATTACTGTGTGTTGTCCTTTCATCTTTTTCTAGACTCATTATTGTTAAACTAAAGTTTCGAGTCTTTATGCCATCAAATTCTAGAAGCGGGGGGGTGTAGAAGAACAGGCCAATTGCTTAGGGTTCAAAGCACCGATTTTGTTCTTTTCTTTTGCCTTCATTTTATCTCCAGAGCAATCTTGTTACATTTACTTTTCTGTACCGCCCACACTTTCAAATTCCGCCTACCGCACCTTGATCTCACCCTGTGGACCTTATTAAGATGCTTAAAGACTGGGTTGACATCGATCAGATGGGAAAAAGAAGACAAGAGAAAATTTGAAATTTGGATATAGGTTAAATCGAGGAGGGTGTTATTTTATGATTTTCTGTTAATGCAGTCGAAACTATTGTAGGAGTTTATAGATAGTAAGTAAGGTTAAAAAGTTCGAGCCTCGCTATCAAGACCTTTGTTCTTGTATTGTATGAATAGACCTCTGTATATTGAAATTACATGCAAAATTTTGGTTTTTTAATATTCAACTCATCAAATGTTCAAGTGTCATCGAAACAGATATGTATTATTATTATTATTATTATTATTATTATTATTATTATTATTATTATTATTTGTGAAGAATCAAAAAGGAGAGAAACGGCGGAATTGGAAAGATGAATTCTAAGAAAGAAAGAAAGAAAGACAGACAAGAAAAGAAAAGTAAATAGGGAGGTAAAAAAGAAAGACAGAAAGAAACAAAGAAAGAAATCAATATCATGCAATAAAGAAAGAAAGAAAACAAGAATTAATGAAAAAAAACAAAGAAGTCAAGCTAACAAGCAAGAAAGAAAGAATAAAAAAAGAAAAAAATGCAAGCAGGTAGGTCAGAAATAGGGAAAGATTAAAGAAAGTAGCAAAGCAAATTAGAAAGAAAGACAGCAGGCAAGCACACAGTCAAGTAAGCGAGCATGAAAGAAAGAAAGAAAGAAAGAAAGAAAGAAAGAAAGAAAGAAAGCAAACTAGCAGGCAAGAAAGCAAGCAAGCAAGAAAGAAAGCAAACACTCAGGCAAGCAAGCAAGAAAGAAAGAAAGAAAGAAAGAAAGAAAGAAAGAAAGAAGGCAAACACTCAGGCTAGAAAGAAAGAAAGAAAGAAAGAAAGAAAGAAAGAAATAGAGAAAGAATGAAAGAGAAAGAGAAAAAGAACAAACGGAAACAAGCAAGCAAGAAAGAAATAAAGAAAGGAACAAAGAAATAAAGAAAGAATGAAAGAGAAAGAAAGCAAACACTCAGGCTAGCAAGCAAGCAAGAAATAAAGAAAGAAAGAAAGAAAGAAAGAACGAAATAAAGAATGAAAGAGAAAGAACGCAAACACTCAGGCTAGCAAGCAAGCAAGAAATAAATAAATAAAGAAAGAAAGAAAGAAAGAAAGAAAGAAAGAAAGAAAGAAAGAAAGAACGAAATAAAGAATGAAAGAGAAAATACGCAAACAAGCAGGCAAGAAAGAAAGAAAGAAAGAACGATAATAGGCAGGGAATAAAGAAAGCAATAAATGAATAAAGAAAGAAAGAAAGATGATGGTTCAGTAAGTTTGAATGAAAAATACATAGAAATAAAGTAGACAGACAAGTCAGAAAGAAATAGAAAACAGTTCTAAAATATCTATGACGTCTGACGAAAGCGAAGTTTGCGAAAGAGAAATGTACTAACATAAAAAATACCAAAAATGTATTAAAAGCTAACATTAGTTTTCACACAACTATGGATTAAATAACAAAGCGTAAAATTTCACCCGAACGACACTGCGAAAGGCATCACCCTGCGTATTCTCCTCTTAGTTACGGGTTAACTGGAAATGTAGACTGGGTATTCTAACGTTAGATAGCAACCATGCACACAGAGACCTTGACACTTCATGCTATCCTTTACCTTTATAGAGCCGAAAATGAAGTACTGTTGTCATATTTGGGCAGTAGCTGACGAGACCTCGCTTTCCAGTCCTTGTTGGAGAAGTAATATTTTCTACATTCCAAAATCTCTCTCACAGGAGGATGTGGCGAGTCCTTCATTGCTCTAGCGTTAACTCTATGCTATTTATATTGCAACAAACCACCATCATTCACTCCGTATTCCAGGGGCGAGAAGTAAGTTTCGATCAAACAATTTCTTCCCACAAAACCACTGCCGCATAAAACAGACTGCCAATAGGATGTTTCCCTGAACACTAACTGTTCCAGTATAGTCAACCGTTATCATCCCTTCCCAGCTATATAAACTACCCCTTAACGTAATCCTCTAAATCGAGTCGCCCCCGGGCTTTGTACAGGGTGAAACTTAATGCAAAAAAAAAAAAAAAAAAAGATAAGGAAAAGGACACTCTGCATTAAAATATGACGTTCAGGGTATGTATTATTCGAAACATTGTTATCTCTTATCTATAAAAGGCAGAATGTATGTGTGTGTGTGTGTGTGTGTGTGTGTGTGTGTGTGTGTGTGTGTGTGTGTGTGTGTGTGTGTGTGTGTAACGAATGCACGGCCGCAATTTTCGACGGATTTGCACCAAAGTTTACATGCTCATGCTCCAAGTTAGCGGGTAAGCCAAGGCCGACGTTGCATTTCCCAACTCCCATCGATAGTGGAAATAATCGATTTTTTCATGCTTCTATAGCAGTTTTTATGTAGTTTGCGGCCATTTTCTACTGGCCAGAGTGAGAGCCTATAGCTGGCTGCCACGAATAGGCAGGAAGATTCTATTGGCCAGCGTGAGAGCCAACAGTTGACAGACACGAATGTTAACTAGCATGCTAACACCCAAAAAAAAATCGATAGTTGCATTCGTCACAACTGGGAAAAATTTAAATCTGCATGACACTTTACTCCAATTGGCTCATTTGCTTGCTTAAACTCAACGTTGATTCTGATTCCGCAGAACTGGGATTGGGTGTGAAAAAGTAATTGTTGTTAACATTCTTTTTTCATTCGGTTTTTCCAGTTACGAATCATTTTTTTTTAGGCTGATCGTTTTGTGTTCATTTTGTGTAGTTTTTTTTCGTAACAGATTTAACGTTTAGTATAGAGTTTAGAAAAAATTTGCAGTGTGAGATAGGCAAGATGTAAGGTATGTAGCAACCTCAGCCCGGCAAAGGGCACTCCTTTAAAGGCAAGGAAGGGCAAAAATATTTTAAGTCAAGTGATAGCGATTGCTGTATGTGTTGTACGATTTTTGAATCAAGCACGGGCAACGCCGGGCCATGCTGCTAGTAAAGTCTAATACAAAACTCTATTATTTCAAAAAGCTGATTGTAATTCTTAAATTAACCCAATGCATCGAATGTCACAGAAAAAAGGACGTAAGATATTAGAAAACTATGATATTTTAAATAATACTATTTACTACAACATCAGATCTTTTTTTTTTAAATGCAATACTATATAAGGAAATCGTCAAAATTTACATTAAATTCAAGCAGGTGCTGAAATCTAAATATCTGGTAAATGTTTTGAAAGGGCGCGTAAGTGCGTCTCTGAGACCCGAAGACGTATGGGTATAGCGAAAGACGAATTCCAAATGCTAGGCAGAATATTAAAAGACAGGAAGATTTCGTTGCTAACAAAGGACGTATGCTGAACTGCTGCATGGTATCTGTCCTCCTTTATGGCAGCGAATTTTGGACGTTTTCCTCCTCAAAGACGAAGAAGGCAGCTGAAGTGTGGTTCTTCAGAAGGATGCTGAGGATACCATGAACCGAACATGTGAGAAACAATGATATTTTGGAGAGGATGCAAACAAAGGAAATTCATAATTAACCTCAGGAAGAGGCAGCTGAAATTTCTGAGAAACGCAATGTAAAAAGAGCCCATGGAAAATCTGATAGTCACAGGGCAGTCAGATGTGAAGTTGGGAGAAGGAAAGCAACACGTGCCATATTTAACGAGCTTAAGCAAGTGGATGGCAGAACAGTGTCAGGGAGAAAGTCAGAGAATATTGTGAGCTACAAAGAAATGGAGATCCATGATCGCCTACGTCATGGAGGGACACAGCATATAAAATAAGAAAACACATTATGTGAAATATGCTTAGAAATATAGTGAAGATTAAACTGTTGAATACAGAGTATTTTACCTTAGTTTTCCAATGAAGTTTAAGGAGCATAACATGTCCAGATATTTATATTTATACAAAGTGTAGCCTGTTTCTCCACACACAAATTTCACTATATTCCGCTCCGTTTCTGGTTGACCTATAGATTTGACATTTAAAATACCGTATATAATAACGTATCATGCGACTTTTGAAAACTTAATTCTGAAGCCACTTTTAAGGGGGTCGCATCATACACAAGATATAAAATTAGCGTATGTATTGCTGACACTGGCTACGACACTGACCGGACTATATATATATATTTCTGTAGTTAAAAGTACAGCTATGTTAAAAATAAGCATGATTTGATAAAACCGATGTATATTTAACTGTTTACAATAATAATGCATGTAACAGTCATATATTAGTATCGTATTATAAAATACAAACATAGCAAAATATGCATCTTTTTATTGTTTATGTTTATAAGATGTTTAGCTGATTCTCTTTCTTTTATTTTTTTTACTTATTTAATTAAAGATTGGATAAAGAGATAGAGGGAAAGAGATTAGTCTATTGTAATTTGGTCTCTCAGAAAAAAAAGAACTCCCATGATATACGAGATACATGATAAAATCATTTTATATAAGAGAAAATTTTGGTGTCGACCAATACTCGAGATTACACGTTACACGTTTTTATACGGTATATTACTGAAAATAGACGATAGGGAAAAACATTTTGTTGGGTTATTCTAATGTTAACTGTTTATATAGTCAATACACCTTTTCTCTCATATTTGCTGATGTCAGGCTATTTTTGCGCACTTGACGATTTTAATAATAAGAAACGATATGTAGTCTTAATTTAAACTTGTAATTGAGATAATTTATACCCTCAGTCCATAAATATTTCAAAGTACATTCAGGATGAAGTCTTTCCATTGTAAACGAAGAATTTAATTAATTTCATTTTCAAATTCTCATGTTTGCTACCCTCATTCGAAAGATGAAATACAAAGATATTATTTGAAAGGTTAATGCATCCAAGTTTCAAACAATTTAAGCCATTGGTGCTATATGGCATATTAAATTTTGTGAGCAAAACAAAAATTCACCCGCTTTTCATCACAATAAATTTAATCATTCCTGCCATATCTGGACTGAATCTTCCCACTTCTTACTCTCCAGATTCTTGTGTGTAATTAATTCCTCTCCAGTCTACAAACTTTAATCGACGTAAGAAACGCAACTAGACTCTCTCTATCGTTGTATCTATTGCAGATATTCGAACGAGTTACCTTCCTTAATTCCAAAATACGCTTGGGAAAGATATGAATACATCAATTCTCCCCCTAGATATGGGTTGAACAGTAGGATAGACTGGGTTCCATAGCAAGCAGTCTACTGAAGAAAATAATCTTCTTCCGAGTGATATGATCGCCTAAGTGTCTGTCACGTATGGCACTTAATTGGCTAAAGTTACCCAAGACAGTTTCTTCCCATAAAAAAAAACTCCCTAGATTAGGCTACACCGACCACTACAATCCGGACAGGTGCTGCGTTGTTCTCATTGTTCAGCCACGACAGGGTTCAAAATCTATGATGCGGCCACATAGGTGATTTATTTTTTTTACATCCTTCAACCCTCATCCCACAGACAAAACAGAGGTAGGCCCTCACTAAATTATCGCTATTACTATGGCAGGTTACATTCCTCAGTTCCACCAATTCAAACATTCGATGCTAGGACGGGTAATGCCATTCCATATCCATCATAGAAAATTATCCTACTTCTTTTCGTATTACTTTGATAAAAAGTAATTTCCACTTAGGCAGATTCTTCCTCAGAACTCTTATATTGTGGAAAAAAAATTCCCGAGAGGATTAGTCTTTGACAACAACTGAAATTGTATCTTCAGTTCCAGAATCAAGCGATATCTATCATAGACATTCACATTATATGCAGTTATTAATTACTTTTCCTCTTTCTTACAACAATATAATTTAGTAACACACAAATTTGAGTGGCCAACTAACAACAAAATAATCTTCATAGACTAAGCGTAGTACATATCTGGTGATTATTTCAAACTTACAGTTAGGTATGGAACTAAATTTGATTTCCAGATCTGAAAATCTGTCAAAATGGTAAATTTGATAATGGTGGGAATGAAAATTAGTACGGTTTTCCTTGTTGGTTCTGTAAGCTTGAAGGTAGTTATTAGTTCTATGTAGCATATTTAAGGACAGTAGAATATTGTTTGATTCAAACGTAAAATCTATTAAGGTTTCGATGTTGTTACATTTGTAGACAAGATCGAATAAAACTGTGTTTTCTGGATATATGCAGCGAAAGTAAAAAGAATTTTGTGGTGAAATGCTTTTGAAATAACTACTTACCAGAAATTCAAAAAATAGACAAACCAAAATGCCACTAAGAAGAGACGACATCGGTAAACCCAACGGGATAGTAAAGGTAAAGTAAATTTAAATTGAAAACTCTCCGAGTTTTGTTCTCATTATTGAGGCCAGGAATGAATACACAGTGCTTTGGATCAAGTCACTTTTTGCATCAATCAACCAACGTTTTTATCCAATGGGTTCTTTTTAACTAAAAACTGAGATA